ATTGTAGCAGTATTTTTCTGGGTCTGTCACCTCAGGTAAAGGAAAAAAACCCAGAATAAACAAATAGAACCTAATTAAACTTAAAGGCTTTGACACTGCAAAGGAAACCATCAACAAAAGGAAAGACAACCTACTGAATGGGAGAAAATATTTGCAAATGATATTTCTGATAAGGGGTTAATATTTAAAATATATAAACAGCTCATACAACCCACTATCAAAAAAACAACCCAATTAAAAAAATGGGCAGAGACCTGAATTGACATTTTTCCAAAGAAAACATACATATGGTCAACAGGCACATGAAAAGATTCTCAACATCACTAATCATCAAGGAATTGCAAATCAAAACCACAATGAGGTACCACCTCACACCTGTCAGAATGGCCATCATCAAAAAGACCACAAATAACATGTTGGTGACGTGGAGAAAAGAGAATCCTAGTACATTTCTAGTAGGAATGTAAATTGGTACAGCCACTATGGAAAACAATAAGAACTTTCCTCAAAAAACTAAAAAAAGAACTACCATATGATCCAAAAATTCCACTCCTGAGGTACATATTCAAAGAAAATGAAAAGACAAATTCAAAAGGATATTTGCACCCAATGTTCACAGCAGAATTATTCACAACAGCCAAGATACGGAAGCAACCTAAGTATCCATCAATAGATGAATGAATAAAGAAGTTGCGATACATACACACACACACACACACACACACACACACAGAGGAATATTTCTCAACCATAAAAATAAATGAAATTCTGCCATTTGCAACAATATGGACGGACCTACAGGATTTTATGCTTAGTGAAATAAGCCAAATACTGTAGCTATTACTTGTATGTGGAATAAAATGAATATATAACAAAACAGACTCAGACAGAACTAGTGGTCACCAGTGAGGAAAGGTAAGGTCAAGGGGCTCAACAGAGGTAGGGGATTAAGATGTACAAACTACTATGTATAAAGTAAATAAACTACAAGGATATATTGTACAGCACAGGAAATTATAGCCATTGTTTTATAATAACTTTAAATGGAATATAATCTATAAAAATATTGAGTCACTAAGGTGTACACCTGAAACTAATACTGTATATCAACCATACTTCAATAAAAAAATTAGATTAAATTAAAAATACAATAAAACTTTTAAAGACTTATTATAAAAATAAAAACGGTAACCATCATTTGAAGAAAGAAAATATATGGATGTTTGAAAACTGGCTTGTCTCACTCATTAGTCTAGATGATTTACTTCTGTACACAATAATCTGAATTCTTACCTCAGCAAAAGTCAAAAATTACTACAGGTTATCATACATCAGGACTAAATCCAGGCATTTACAGAGCAGCAAAATAAATTCATGGGTAAAAGAATAATACTGTACAATTTCAAATTAAAAAAAAAAAAAAAGAAGCACCTACAGTTTCCCCAAAAGTTTATAATCTCATAAGGGAAACAAGATAAGACTAATAAACTACAGCGCTTTATAGAAAACTACAAGTACTATATACTAAAGGAACAAATAAAGTGCTTTGGGAACATAAAGGAAGCAGAGATATATTTCTTTTTTTTTTTTTTTTTTTTTTTTTTTGG